GATCGGCCAGTTCTAAGTGTGAAGGAGTTAGGAAGGATGGGGGAAAGGGTGGTGATTTCCCTAGTATTCTGCCAAGCTCTGTTCTTACATTCTCTAATAGTTCTCTGGCATTTCCACTATAAGATGGCACACTGAGCACATGTTGCAATCTCCCCTTCCTGCCCCAGATCCTTAGAAATAATAAAAAGGTTTTAATAAAAATCCAGAACCAGGCAAGAAAAGAAGTGGCATGCTAGAAACTCAGGACTGCCTGGTAGCACAGGATTGAAGAAGGAAACCACTGCTGAAAACTGCTTTTCAAAAAATGAAAGACATGACGGTAGTGGATACCAAGAGCAGGAGGGGCCCTGAAGTAAATGCCAGCAGGGTATTTGGGCTCTTGCAAGATGAGTAATCATAAAACTGGTGTCCAGGTCTGCATCCCTGCCTTGAACGCTCAGGTCAAGAAATGGGTATGGGTCTGAGAACCCCCGCAGTGGCCAGAGGGCTGACAACATCCAGGCAGATCAGGGAGCCCCCAAACCCAGAAGATTAGCCACTGGCACATCCACCTGGCAGCCCCTCCAACTCCAGCCCCACCTCACCTAAGAAGAGCTATCTGTGGCCCTTAGCTGAGCAGCACGTACACCCCTCTCCCTCACCAGCAGACGGCAATAAAAGAGCATCCCTGATCAGGATGACAGAGAATCTCAAAGTCAAAAATGAGCTTTCAGCTAGAAATCACCAAACACTGGAGGAATGCTAATGCCAAGAAAGAGTCACCATGTTCAACAAACCGAAGACCTCCTACCAGAGGACAAAGAAACAGAACAGGCAAAATCAGAGCTTTAAAATATATATAATTTGTGGGCCTGGGTGGCTCAGTTGGTTGAGTGGCCGACACTTGATTTCAGCTCAGGTCATGATCTCAGAGTCGTGGGATTGAGCCCCGAGCCGGCCCCACGCTCAGTGCAGTCTGCTTATTCTTCTCCCTCCTCCTCTCTGCTCCTCTCCCTGCTCTCTCTCCCCTCTAAAAGTAAATAAAATCTTTAAAAACAAATAAATAAATAATAAAATGCATATAATCTATATTCCCTGAGAGATTTAAGAGGATATCGTGCCTGTGAAAAAAGAATCAACTAGAGATCCTGAAGATTAAAGTTGGATTGCTGAAATACAAACTCAACAGTTGGGCCAAACAGCAGAATGGGCACAACTGAAGAATATATTAGAACAGTAAGACTGAGTTGAGGAATTCAGCCTAAAAAGCAGGAAGGGGGGGGCGGGGGGGGAGATGCAAGGTATGAAGGAAAAATTAAGAAATATGGCAGCAGGGGCACCTGGGTGGCTTAGTCAGTTAAGCGTCCAAGTCTTGATTTTGGCTCAAGTCATGATCTCAGGGTTGTGAGATCAAGCCCCATGTTGGGCTCTGTGCTGGGCATGGAGCCTGCTTAAGATTCTCTCTCACCCTCTCCCTCTGCCTCACCCCCTCTTCCTCCTGAAAGAAAGAAAGAAAGGAAGGAAAGAAAGATAGATGGCAGATCTAGAAGTTCCAATATTCACGTAATAGGAATTCCACAAAGAGAGAGCACAGAGAACAAAGCATAGAAATTACAGAAACAGAAGAAAATGATTTCTCAGAACTTAAGAAATTCATGAGTCTTCAGACTGAAGATATGGTAAGTACAGAGCAACATAAAGGACAAGAGATCTATATCCTAGCAAAATTCCTGACCAGCCCCCTTCCCCAATCTCAAATGCTTCCAGGGCAAAATAAAAATCAAATGAAAATAGATTATCTTATAAAGGAGTAAGAATCAGATTGACCAGATTTTTTTTTTTTTTATTTGACAGAGAGAGAGAGAGAGAGGGAGCGAGAGAGGGAACACAAGCAGGCGGAGTGGGAGAGGGAGAAGCAGGCT